TAGTTTAGCTGCTTATCCAAACATGACCTCAACAACAAAGACTAGTTGAAAATTTTTTAATAATATCCATCACCTATTCAGATGACTTGAAAATCCCCATTCCAAACCTTCAATTATTATTCTGTTAAAAAGTGATTTTAGGTTTTGTTGATGAATATTTTCTAGATAGTTTTAATTTAATGGTTAAAAATCATGTAAAGGACAGTGATTGTATGTTTCAGTAGATGAAAAAGGCCAGGGATATTTTTAAAAGCTAAAATAGTTTGGGTTACTATGCAACATTTCAAGGGCCTTGCTGTAGGCTATAATCATACTGTTTTAATGGTTCTCTTTTTAAAATGCATTCATAATGCTTTGTAACATTAGAATCACTAGAAGCATGCATATAATGGCAATGATAATGTTACTGTACATTTAAATGGAGCTCTACAGTTCACAAAGCAGGAACAGCAATGCTAGAACACTTTTCTAATAGCAAAGCAGTATGTCTCCAACTGGGGAGTTCCCTGGATGGTTGTAAAGAAGCTGCAAGGGGATCCAGGAGGAAAGAGTAGCTGTTTGAAATGGAGGAAAGTAGCAAAAATCAAAGTAGGTTGCTAGAGGAGGCTTCAAGGCCACTGCTATCTCTCTTGTAAGTATAGACCCAGAAAGTTAAAATGACAGATATAAAAGTTGGTGATGAAGGGAAACAAAATAAGCCACCCCAAAATATGCAACACTGACATATTATTTTGAACTGCAGACACTTGAAAAACAGCAAATGCAGGGAGAGGCTTTCTCTGAACTGCTTTTATTTGCCTAAAGATAAATCTTCCAAAAGGAACTTAATCGTCATAAATTCTGTCCCTGGGAGTTTCATCATCCAAGGAATATTGACTCATCACAGAAGAGACTGGAAGTCAACACCATACAACTTTGTCACCGACTATCATACTACCCTTCTATTCTTCTAAAGGTCTTTGCTAAAAACCATTTGTGTCTGTGCCTAGTCACTCAGTCGTGTCTGACTCTTTGCAACCCTTAGACTGTAGCCCGCCAGGCAAGAATACTGGAGTGGGTTGCCCTGTCCACCTCTAGGGACTCTTCCTAACCCAGGGAGGGATTGAACCCAGGTCTCCCACATTACAGGCAGATTCCTTTTACCGTCTGAGCCACTGGAAGCCCAAGGAGGAGGGGATCTTCCAACCCAGGAATCAAACTGGAGTCTGCTGTGTCTCCTGCACTGCAGACAGATTCTTTACTTTCCCCAAAATGGCCGTAACCCCCTCCCATTCCCTATTTACATAGTATTGCATCCTGAATTCCAACTTCTCCGAGTTACTCAATTTTCCCTGGGTATCTCCCTTGTATGCATAAGGCACACATGTCGATAAACTTCTGTTTTTCTCTTCTTAATCTTCCTTTCATTATAGAGGTCTCAGTTAAGAACTCCTTCCCTAGTGTAATTAATGCAAAAGATCAGAGATAGCAAGGACTTCACGGTGACTATGCAGATATGAGTAATCAATATAGAGGGAACTTAACCAAGTACTTCCCCCCTCCCATACTAATATTCCAAGAGTCTATCAGTTTTTATAATTATATCAAGCCTCAAGTTCAAAAATTCTTCCTGATTATATTACTCATTTTTTTCAAAACAATTTTATTTAAAAATTGTGGTGTTCATAAAATTGTCAACTATCAAGATTTTGTATCCCCAGGTCTCAAACACCAAATGTTCCAATGCAGTAAGTTTAGGGTTGGGTCTGGAGTTTGCATTTTTTAAGACAAGAAGCCTCTGGTAATTTTAATTCTAATAGCATCACATTTTGAGGAGCACTGACCCACAGTACCTGACATACTGCCTAGGGTACAGGAGATACTCCATGAATAGTTGCATTGACTTATTTATCTGTTTTGAGATCCCATGGTTTGGTTGGGATAATTCACTCCCAACAAAATTATCCACTGTGCACAGTAAACAGGTCTGAAGTTTTTAGACCATATTTCATGCAAAACTTTGTATTGAGTATCTGATATTAGCCTGATCTAAGAAAATATATATAAAGGCAGTATAGTTGTCCTTCAGTATTTGGAGAGGATTATTTCCAGGAATCCCAAAATCCAGGGTTCTTTGTATTCCTTCTATAAAATGATGTAATATTTGCATATAACTTACACATATCTTGCCATATACTTTAAGTCGTTTCTAGATTACTTTTCATACCTGATACAATATAAATACTATGTAAAAAGTTGCAAATGCAACATAAATACTATGTAAATAGTTGCAAGCATGCATCAAATTCAACCTCCAACTTAATCTGGGATTAATCTTTTTTGGAACTTTCTGGAATTTTATTTTTTGAATGTTTTCTGTCCATAGTTGGGTGAATCCATGGGTGCAAAACCCATGGATATAGAGGACTAACTGAATTAAGATGGCTTTCCAGGTGGCTCAATGGCAAAGAAGCCACCTACCAATGCAGGAGCCAAAAGAGACGCAAGTTCAATCCCTGGGGTCTGGAAGGTCCCCTGGAGGAGGAAATGAAAACCCAATCCAGTGTTCTTTCCTGGAAAGTCCCACTGACAGAGGAGCCAGGTGGATTACAGTCCACAGGATCTCAAAGAACTAGACACTACTGAGCACACACACAACTGAGTTAAATATATTAAATATTTACTTACATTTTCTTCCCCTATATTTATGTTTGGATGTCCCATTCCTTTTCCAATGTAAGATTTTTCTAGTTTTGTGGATTCTTAAAATTTTGGTTCTTTGTTCATTTTAATTAATGTATTGCACTATAAGAATTTATTTTGTATATAATGTGACTGCAGTCATGAAATTAAAAGACGCTGCTTGGAAGAAAAGCTATGACAAAACTAGACAGCATATTAAAAAGCAGAGACATCACTTTGTTGACAAAGGCATCACTTTTTATACAGGACATCACTTTGTATAGTCAAAGCTATGGTTTTTCCAGTAGTCATGTACATGTGTGAGAGTTCGACCATAAAGAAGGATGAGTACCAAAGAATTGATGCTTTCAAATCATGGTGCTGAAGAAGACTCTTGAGAGTCCCTTTGACTGCAAGAAGATCAAACCAGTCAATACTAAAGGAAGTCAACTCTGAATATTCATTGGAAAGACTAATGCTGAAGCTGAAGCTCCAATACTTTGGCCACCTGATGCAAAAAGCTGGCTCATTACGAAAGACTCTGACAGTGGGAAAGATGGAAGGCAGAAGGAGAAGAGGATGACAGAAGACGAGATGTTTGTATGGCATCATTGATTAAATGGACATGAGTTTGAGCAAACTCCAGGAGATAGTGAAGGACAGGGAAGCCTGGCGTGCTGCAATTCACGGGGTCACAAAGAGTGAGACATGACCGGGCTGCTGAGCAGCAACTTGTAGTCTCTAGGATTTTCTACACATATGGTCACATGATCTGCAAATAGAAATAATTGCACTTCTTCCTTTCAAATTTGTATATTTTTCTTTGTCTAATTACTCTAGCTAGAACTTCCAGTACTATATTGAATAGAAGTGGTGAAAATGGATATCCTTACCTGTTATCTTCACAGATGCTAGAGGGAAATAGGGCTGCTTCTAGGACTGCAGCCAGGACCACAGTGGGCCAGCAGGCCACTGGGGTACATGCCTCCTTCTGAAAGCATCCTACATCAGCCTTACACTCTCCTGAGTTTTTCAGCCTGGGTCCCAAGCCTCCCACAAATACACTTTTGTTTATGGATGGCTACTACATTGATATTTTTCTAGGGATGTGAAGGCCCTGGTGGCTCAGATGAAAAGAACCCTACAATGCAGGAGACCCAGGTTCTATCCCTAGGTTGGGAAAATCCCCTAGAGAAGGGAATGACTACCAACTCCAGTATTCTTACCTGGAAAATTCCATGAACAGAGAAGCCTGGCAGGCTACAGTCCTTGGGGTTCCAAAGAGTTGAACACAACAGAGCATCTAACACACTTGAAGTGGGGGGACCTCCTGTTCACCCATTTTGCTAACATCATTCCCTCTCCCTATACTTATATTTTTTTTTCTTTTTCCCTTATCATATTTACCAAAATATTGCTTTCCCCTCAAATAAGTAAATAAGCAAACAAGCAACTAAACACACTGAATATTTGATTTAATTATTAGTTCCATCTATTTTATAAATTAAGTTTCATGTTATATATAATAATTTTCCACATTAACTTTATTAAGATCTGTTTTTATTTTTGTTAAACTTATGTGATTACTAATGGGAAAAGGGATAATCACTGAAAGATATTATAAACAACCCAGAAGAAATCATGTTCCCTACATGGTGATAGAGAAGGTTGTATAATTTTTATCCTCATTGCAGCACCTACCAAATTTGACTACAACATTACCATAGGTCACATTTGACAACAGATTAACTTAGAAGGACATAGGACAAGAAATCTTGCCAGCCAGGCAGTGTTAGTTATTTTTCTTAAATATGAGTTGTACTTACAGAATTCATTTAGAGTACAGGTCACAGACAGGAAGATAATACCCATGTTGGGTAGTGCAAAAGACGACGTGGCTTAGAAGCCTAATAATCTGAAGGAACCAATATCTCTTATAACAACTCCAAAAACAAGCACAATTTCCAGGGTCCTGAAAAACACAAAGCCAGCTGTATAAGAATTACTGCACTCAAAGAAGATCAAAGACATGGCTTCCTTCCCTGCATTTACTGTTCTCCCAATTCAGATGACATTTACTACTCAGGGGTCATTTTACTATAAGCCGTGTGCCTGGAAACATAGTTAACATTCCAACTTCATTGCATTTCCAAGAGAACAGAGCTATAAATTAACCAAAAGTCAAATTCTCATTCAGAATACGTGTTTAGTTTGAAATATTGGCCCTATTATTGTTCACACTGTTAAATGTATGGCAATTTAACATTTTTTTATCTTGTCTATATGACTAAATTCCAACCTTAAACCTTTTTCCTCTCGTGTTCTTCATATTTGCACAGGTGAAATATGGAAATTATGCTTTTGTATGGGATGCAGCTGTATTGGAATATGTGGCAATCAATGACCCAGATTGTTCCTTTTATACCATTGGGAATACCGTTGCTGATCGCGGATATGGAATTGCATTACAGCATGGCAGTCCTTACCGGGATGTTTTTTCACAAAGGTAAGATTTGTGTGCAGTTCCAATAAGAAGAGAGAAAATATAGAAGAAGAAAATTCACTTGGTTATTCCATTTAGTTTATTACATTTTGTTTTCTTTGTTTGGAAAACCACAATAAACAATAGCATAAAAGAGAAGTTATGAATGGTTGTACAATAAAACGTTCATTTCCTAAAGCATGTACTAAAGTATTATTTTTCCCATTAAAAGAGAAAAGTTATTGCTGCATATAACTAGTTATTCTCAAAAAATTGATACAGAAAATAAAATAAAAATGTAATTGAGTTTAGTCTCTGAATTTTTAGGGACTAAAAATGTCATAAAGTAAGCAAAATTAATTCATTTCTAAAAACTGCCAAAGCATAAAGTAAACTTCAGGACCAAGTTAAAATTCTGAAGTACATACTGATAGGGATGTTTCCATCTCAGTTTTGCAAAGGGAAAACGTGGGAATTTTAGTCTTGTCATTTGCTGTCAAAGCACACATGAGACTTTGTCATGGAAATTTAGGAGTCAATTTATTAAGAAGTTATATTCATCCTGAAATCAGAATTTTCTATGTTATTTAAGAAAGAAGATTTTAAAATGTATATTTTGGATTAACAATGTAGATGAAAGCATTGGACCTGAAAGCTGTTTTAAAAATCATTGCATTTTATTTTATCTACTACCAAACAAGCTTGAACCTAAAAGAGTGTAATACCTTTCAGGTAGAAATATGTTCCATTTGACACTGATAGTTCGTTTGGTTTATTACTAGATATTCTTTAGGTAAAAGACAGATAAAAGAGAGCAGTACTGAGTAGTATTCTAGTACTAAGGCCCCAAATTTGAGTGATATTCCCCCAAATTTCCAAGATAACAAAAAGCCAGGTATTTTGTGTTTAACAAAACAAGTCAGTAGTTCAAATATTTGTTGTGATTCTTCTGTTAGCTACTAAAAGCCTAGAAGTCTCTCCTTATCAGCAAATGAGGATGTTAAATCAAGTCAAAGGTCCTACATTAGTCACCTTTTCTGTGTGGCAAACAACCCAAAGTACCAATGACTTGAAAAAAGCTATTTCTCATTCATGGAACATAAGGGCTGGGATTTGGCTGAAGTCTGCTGTGAGTTGTGGGCCAACTGCAGGTCCCTGCACAGCTTCTTGTCCCAGGGACCAGGCCAGAGAAGCAGTCCTATCTGGGATAAGCTGTTTTCATTTCCAAGAGAACTTGTGAAAGAGGCCAGCAGAACCCTGGCGCCTCCTGTGCTTCTTGCATGGGTGTGGCATACATCACCTCTGCTCATAGACCACTAACTAAAAAGAGTTTCATGGCCAAGCTCCGAACAATAATATAACTTATTAATGGTCCCTCTGGGGACCATTTTAAGTGTAAGATAATCAAAATATACATAAATTGGCAAGTAACATATTAAGGTACAAATGAAGTTTATCAATTAAAGCATATTTTATGATGAGTATATTCTAGGGGAATCTACTTGAAAATCACTTGTGGTCTCAGTTCAGTTCAGTTGCTCAGTCGTGTCTTGACTCTTTGTGACCCCATGGACTGCAGGCATGTCAGGCTGCCCTGTCCATCACCAACTCCCAGAGCTTGCTCAAACTCATGTCCATCGAGTTGGTGTTGACATCCAACCACCTCATCCTCTGTTATCCCCATCTTCTCCAGCCTTCAATCTTTCCCAGCATCAGGGTCTTTTCCAGTGAGTCAGTTCTTCTCATCAGTCCAAAGTATTAGAGTTTCAGCTTCAGCATCAGTCCTTCCAGTGAACATTCAGGACTGATTTCCTTTTGGATGGACTAGCCGGATCTCATTGCAGTCCAAAAGACTCTCAAGAGTCTTCTGCAACACCACAACTCAAAAGCATCAATTCTTTGGCGCTCAGCTTTCTTTATGGTCCAACTCTCACATCCATATGTGACTAGTGGAAAAACCATAGTTTTGACTAGACAGACCTTTTTTGGCAAAGTGATGTCTCTGCTTTTGAGTATGCTGTCCAGGTTTGTCATAACTTTACTTCCAAGGAGCAAGCATGTTAATTTCATGACTATAGTCACCATCTGCAGTGATTTTGGAGCCCAAGAAGATAAAGTCTGACACTGTTTCCACTGTTTCCCCATCTATTTGCCATGAAATGATGGGACCAGATGCCATGATCTTCATTTTCTAGCTGCAGAAAAAAGACCTGTGCATATGAAACAATGAACAACACAGACATTTCTATCAACATGTACTGACATTTATCAGTATTGTTTATTTATACTGGGTTAAATTGTGTAGTTGAGATACTGAAAAAATTGAATTCCATACAGAGTAAAGAGTTAATCCAAGGAAATAAGAATGAAAACTCTTCAAAGGATGTGAACCTTGGACTTGACCTTGAAAGAATAGTAGAAAATAATTATGCTGAAGGAAAAAAATAGGGAATTCTTGGAGAAACAATGAAAACAACAGAACAGAAGTGGGAGAGATCAGAATGTATTGGGTAACAATAAAGACATCAAGTTAATCTGAAAGAAAATTTGAAGTTTAGAATTCATATTGTAGGCTCCAAGCTGCTACAAGAACCTATTGTTCATTCTGGATCCCAGGAGTAAAATGGTGATGATCGTATTTAAGGGAAAGTTAATCTAGTTTTGATGTGAAGGATGGATTTCAGCAAAGACTAAAACAAACCAGGATGCATAAGGTAATGAAGTCTGATCTAGAATGGGGTCAAGAGAATTGAGGAGGAAGGTCCAAGTAGAAGAGATGCTTCTGATCAAAGAGGCACACCATTATTTCTAATAAATAGAGAAGAGAGAATGGAAAGCAAAATGGAATGAAGGGGATGCCAGGGTTTTATGGTATAAGGCCAGCAGAAAAGTTTAAGGGATGCTAAATATGAACCAGATCTTCAAGAAAAGGATTGTTTACTCATTAGTTGCAGTTAATTGGCCTTTTCTTCACTATAGATATTTTTTGTTTCTATAGTTGATTTCTAGGTCTTTTATGCAAAAAAAAATGAAGCCAATAAAATCACTACACAAACATAATAGCAATTAAAGAAATATTTAATCAATCACACCAAGTGTTCCATTTCTTACTCTCCCTGTGGCATTTTACCTTATGGAGATTTTAATTCTGAGTCAATATGTTTCGGTGATCTACTGGAAAACAATATTGAGCATTGAGAATTATTTTTCCTTTGTTTGATTTGCACTATGGATGCTGACAGTTTAAATTGTCTTTTTCTGGGGGGCTCCTTAATAATGACACTCTGCATCCTGGTTACCTGGACATCTGGAAGAAGAGAGAGCCAGGAAAGAAACATAATCTGGCTTCCCCTCTCTACACACATACCATGTTAAGCTATCACCCAAACTCTCTCCTTGAACCCAGAAAACCTCTAAATTCATTCCTTGTGACTCTAGCCATTAGGGAAAAGAGAACTCCTTTTTATTAACTGATTTAAAAGTTATAAAGACCATCACACTTAATAATTGTGTTATCCTTACCAATTATTATAAATAGTTTTAATACAGCAACTTATCCTGGACTACTGATTAGACTGGATCACTGATTGCTCATGTGACTATATTCAATGAAAAATAATATTCACAGTGATTTTTAATAAGTAAATACTAATTAGTTCTCAGGCGACTATGCTCCTGAACCACAGATATAAGATATAAAGTACTTTAATATGTAATAAATATAAATATCTAAAATAAATATTATATAGTGCTTTAGTAACTATATTTGTTGTCTGCTATCTGCCCAATATCTTATATACTTATACATTTTAATGACTTCAGACCAATCACATGAATGTTGTGTATTTGTTTATTACATACTTACATATTAGTGCACAACGGTTGGTCTACAGGTACATACACTGAGTGAATGAGCCTGAAGTTGGCAAGCATCATCTTAGGCACCAGCATCATGGGTTGTAGTGACACGCTCACTTGTACAGTTGCATGTGAGTAGACATGCAGAAGACCAGTAAGTGCTACAATAGATGACTGTAGATTTGGATAGAAGAATTTTGTTTCCTGCTGTTGTACGACAGTCGCTAAGTCATATCCAACTCTTTGCAACCCCATGGCCTGCAGGACACCAGGCTTCCCTGTCCTTCACTATCTCCCAGAGTTTACTTAAGCTCATGTCCATTGAGTCGGTGATGCTATCCAACCATCTCATCTTTATAGCCCCCTTCTCCTGCCTTCAATCTTTCCCGCCATCAAGGTCTTTTTCGACGAGTTGGCTCTTCACATGAAGTGGCTTCAGCTCCAGTACTTCGGAGTACAAATACTAGGTAACTTGGAAGCAGAAGTTATTTATATATCTCACCAAATATATGGATCAGAGTACTAGTGTGGCCAGTAATGTTTGTAATGATTTCTCTGAAACTATTTGTGCATCAAAAGTCTTGTGTGGCCTTTGTCTTATAATAGTTCTTAGTGTAAGAAAATCATCAAAAGTTGTTACAGTAAAGATATTTAAGAATGGAAGAGAACTGAATTTTTCACTGATATCATTATGCAATTAATAAAATTAATTCCAGTGTATCTTAGAACCTTAATTAGTCACAAGGCTAAAAAGATAACAAAAAATATTTACTGAGGGTTTAGTACAAGTGCACCTCTGTTTTCAAGCCTTAGAGGGTGTCAAGGAGTCCCTTTTTGCCTCTTGGCTACTAATCCTTAACTTTGGGAATAGAACCATCTACTGGCACAAAAACAAGGACATATTTCAAAGTACATCGAGAATGATTTTGTTGAATTCATGGATAGTGGCAAAGATGCATAAGCAATATCTCAACCATGTCACAGACTTTCAGAATTTTTAGAAATGGAATGAGCAGTAGTTCCCTTTTCACCAGGGTTGTAACTATTCCAAAGGGGTACATGATTTGCTCAGAAACACAAAAAAATCAGTAAAACTGGCAATTGTTCAATTTTTTTTTTACTTCTATGTTTAGTTTTCTGGTGATTATGCACTCTGTCTTCCCTTA